CTTCTTTGTGTGTGTTAGAATTTTGTTCTACATCCTTCTCCATCTCTGTCCAGAACCCTCTGTTGTGGTCCTGGTCAGAGCAGTCAGTGGTGGTAGCCGGGCACCATCTACCTGTACTGGACTCAGTCTGGTGGAGGCCTTGGTAGCAGTGGTCCGTTAGTCCATTGGACTAATCTTTTCCTTATATCCTGTTCTCTTCATTCTCCCTTGCTCCTGAAGTGGTGAGACCAGTGGAGTATCTTAGATGGCTGCTCACAGGCTTTTAAGACCCCAGACGCTACTCACCAAGGTAGAATGTAGAACATTGTCTTTATAAACTGTGTTATGCCAGTTGAGCTAGATGCTCCCTGAGACCATGGTCCCCACAGCCCTCCACCCAGCAATTCAGTCCCTCAGGGAGTTTGGATGTGTCTGTGGAGCTTCCATGACCTTTCCTTGTACAAGTTGTGCTGGCTTCCCCATAGGGCGACTAAATGTTCTGACTCACCCAGGACTCTCCCAGTTTTAGCACTGAAAAGTCCTGCATCCTGGGAAACCCCTCAGACCTGGGCAAACCAGGAAGTTGACCACCCTACCCCCAGCCAGTGACTGACTGACATGGAGGTACAAAATCCTGGCCTTGCCGTTAGGTAGGAAAGCTCTGTGGTGTCATTCATGCTCCAGAGCTCCTCTTGGGATCCGGCTGAGGCTAGACTTGCTGACAGCACCCATTTGCTTAGGTTCTTCCTCCTCCCTACCTTGCTTATCTTATTCCTTCAATACATCACTTGCACAAGAATGCCCATCTCAAGCTCTGCTTCTAGAGAACCTGGCCTGAGACGCTTTCAAATCCTTTCAGATCTTTTAATACCCTGACTCCAACAATCCTTGTGAACAGTGGTCCACAAACTATTGATTGTTTCTTGTTTATCTCCCATTCTCTTGCTCAGCTGTCATAACCTTCTTTTCATTTTTTGCGTCTCCACTACCTCTTCTCCTATTTTCATTCTCAGCTAATGGTCTTGTTCCCTGTTTCTATTTTGAAAGATAGAAGTCATCAGAAGAGGACTTCCACAAACTTCCACCACCGCATTTAGCCTCTACCTACATGTGTGCTCATTTACTTTTATCTTCTGTTTCTATAGATCAATGCTGTCCAGTAGAACTTTTGACAGTGATGCATATGTTCTGTATTTACAGTTTCATGTCACTAGCCACATGTGGCTTTTGAGCATTGAAATGTGGCTAGTATGATTGAGGAATTGAGTTATTATTTTAATTAATTTAAATTTAAGTACCACATGTGGCTAGTGGCTGTGGTATTGGGTACTGCAGCTGTGGCTGAACTATCATCATTGCTTTTACTTATATATCAGAACCCATCTCCTCCTGCTGTTTTTCCTGTCTTTATTAGAACTTTTGTGTCAGTACATGTCTTAGTTACCTAGTGCTGCTGTAACACAAATGCCACAAGTGGGTGGCTTTAAAGAACAGAAATTTATTTTTTCATAGTTTTGGAGGCTAAAAGGCCAAATCAGAGTCTTGGCCGTGTCGATTCCTTCCTTGTTGGTAGCCCCAGGCATTCCTTGGTTCCTTGATGTTCCTTGGCCTGTAGATAATCCTCACCTGCATCTGTCTTTCCCATGTGTATGTCTCTGTATCTATTCTGGTCTTTTTTAATACAGAAGTGATTAGGTTTAGGATACTACTACAACTTGTATGCCTTTGTTCGTCTGCTTGTCCAGGCATTAGACTTGGTTGTTCAGTATTCCATTATCTTTGACTCAGCTGCCAGTAGTTGGAATTTCTTATATGTCTTTTTGCATCATTATTGTTCTTGTGTTTGTTTCTCTGTGTTGTGTAAAGAGTGACAGCATGTTGTATAAGTATCTTTGGTAGTTCACCATAGCCAGCATATGGGGACCTGCCAACATCTAAGTGCTTCTGACTGAGGAGGCAAGGCCATTAAGAGATCAAGGACTCTCCATGTCATGGTTCACTGGGAAGAGGTATGGGTTGAATCATCTGAAGACTTGTTTCTATATTCCCTGTGTTTCTTTCCTCTCTCAGTTTACAGAAACAGACTTCTGGCTGGAACATAAGCTATATATATGTGGTTAGAAGCCATGGATGTCCTTCTCAGGAAACACCTTCCATAGCCAGAACTCCCCAAAAGTGTTATGCAGTCTTCTTTGTAAAAACCCTTTCCTGGATGGATTTAAGGCATTTCTACTTCAAGTAAAGTACAATAGTATGTCTTAAAAACAAACAAACGAAACAGTGAGTGAGTTTGTGAGAGAGAAAGAATGAGAGTGAAAATGGGTGAGAATTCTTCAGGCTTCTTGGTAGAGAAGCAAACCACATTAAAAGGGAGAAAAAATCAGACTGGCCTCAGAATTCTCCATAGCAGCATTCAGTATCAGGTGACAAGAAGGCAGCATCTGCAAGGTTCTGAGGAAGAGAAAAGGTGACACAGTCAAGATGTCTTTAAACTGTGAAGCTAGCAAGGAGACAATCTTAAACATGAAAGAACTCAGGGAAAAGAGCACATATAAGCTGTACTTGAAAAAAACTGCCTGACAGTGAAACCCAGCCAATTAAAAATTAAAATAAATTACTCAGGAAGAAGTTATGATAATAGGACTTTTGAGGAAATTGAATCAGTTAAAATATAGATCAAGTATTAAATAACTATGGGAATTATAGTTATATAATGGAAGTACAGTCAGAATGCTCCTTAGAAGCAAGGATGGCAAGACTTCATCTCACATACTTTGGACATGTTATCAGGAGGGACCAGTCCCTGCAGAAGGACATCATGCTTGGTAAAGTAGAGGGTCAGCAAAAAAGAGGAAGACCCTCAATGAGATGAATTGACACAGTGGTTGCAATGATGGGTTCAAGCATTGCAATGTTAGTGAGGATGGTGCAGGACAGGGCAGTATTTCGTTCTGTTGTACATAGGGTCCGTATGAGTCAGAACCGCCTTGATGGTTCTGAACAACAACAGTGAAATATGAATGTTATGAATGTTACAGGATAATGTAAAAATTAATATAACAAAAATTGGGAAAAGAAATGGGAGAAACTATGAGCACTAGATTACAGCCTTGGAAACCCCATGGGGCAGTTTTGCTCTCTCCTTTTGGGTTGCTATGAGTCAGAATCGACTCTACCGCAGTGGATTTTGGTTGGTTTATGAGTGCTAAGGTCTTCAACTTTCAGAACAGGAAGTAGTGGTTCCTGCCCCAAGTTAAATTGTGTATAATTAAAGAACTAAAGAGTATTTAGTCTCTAAATGATTTTTATGTATACTTATTTAATGTCTCCATTTTTTAATATTTGCTTTAGATCATGTATAAAATATTTAAGACAAAGAAAAGGTTTAGGAAAAAAATAATGAACACCAGTGCATTACTAATAAAAATTGAAGACCTGTGCACGCTCCTCAAAAATCCCATTCCCTCTTCTTTCCTACAGATAATCAGTATCCTCAATTTGGTGTCAGTTGTTCAAAAACATATCTTTACACTTATATATGAACAATACACAGAATTAATAATTTTCTGTTGTTAGTCTTTATTAAAACAGTATTCTGCAGTTTACTTTTTTATCTTAACATTGTTTTGAGATTTACTTGCTTTGTGTTGCTTGAGTAAGTTATTTTTTGCTTTAATTATTCTGTTACATGGATATACTATAATTCATTAATCTATTTTTTGATGGATATTTATTTGCTTTTTTTGATATATATTTAAAAAAAACTTCTTACATCTTCTTGATTGCATATAATGTTTTTATCATTTTTTTTTTTTAATTTGGAAGAAGTTGTTCAGGGAAAATCTTGTAGAAAAGAAATGAACCCTGACTTAAAAACCTGTTGCTGTCAAGTTGATTCTGACTCATAGCAACCCTATAGGCAGAGTAGAACTGCTCCATAAGGTTTCTAAGGAGTGGCTGTGGATTCAAACTGCCGACCTTTTGGTTAGCAGCAGTAGCTCTTAACCACTGCACCACCAGGCCTCCAGCATTGACTTAAAGAAACATAAACACTGATTTAATATTATCTGTATATAGTTACAGAAAAATGTCTGGAATGATGTTTACTTAATGTTTAAAAAAAAAACCTGTTGCTGTCAGGTCGTTTCCGACTCTTAGCGACCCTATAGGACAGAGGGTCCTATAGGGTTTCCAAGGAGTGCCTGGTGGATTCGAACTGCCAACCTTTTGATTAGCAGCCGAGCTCTTAACCACTGTGTCACCAGGGCCCCTACTTAATGATATTTATTTTCAGGTGATGGAATGTAGGATCATTTTTTAAACTTCTAGCTTTTTATTCTTATTTCTCATTGGTTACAGTCTTTATAATGAGCATGTATGATTTTTATAGTAACAATAGAGTGATATTTTCCTTAAAAAAAACTAACTAAAAGAAAATATTCTAAGACCTTATTAATATGTGATTAATGCTGTGTGGTGAGAGAGTAAATTATTATTATTATTTTTATATTTTAAAGGTCTTTAAGCATATTCATACTATAATTGAAACGTTATAATGATATTCCAGCTTTCTTGAAAACATGATTTTTTTTTTTTTTTAATCAAAGGAAAGGAGGAAAAAGAAAGGTTAGGGATTTTCTTTCACTTAACTATCATCCCCTTTTCAGTACTTCAATTTTGCATGATTAAATGAAAGAAAAATTATTATAATAAAAGTTTAAGTCCTTTGAGTATAATGCAACCTTCAAATGATGGCATTTAGACTGTGTGTAAAAGAGGTTTTCAGGAATTGTTAGAAACTTCAGTAGGTTTCATTTCTTTCTTTTTCCAGAGCTGTGCAGCCCAGTCCCCCTTCCTGAGTTCTCACTTGCCCAGTGGGCCCAGGTGTTAGGTTTGTTCGCCAAGGTAACTGGTGATCTCCGTAGCAGAGTTAAAGCATCTCTAAACTGGAGTATATCAAAAAAGAATGCAAGATATTCTGTTTTACCAATAGGTTAAAATATGACTTGTTTGTTTTGTAGGTATGACCTTGCTTCTAGGGAGTGGCTTGCACTGAACCATTCTGTAAACAACGTGGTTGTTAGATATGGTCATTCTTTGGCATTATACAAGGTAAAATGTTTCCACTCTGTCCTAAGTAAAATACTCAACCCTTTCTCAGTTATTTTATTGTGTTATGTAGTTGAAAAGCTATTCACTGTTGGCTTTTAATTGGGGAAAACTTGCTGCTTTGGGTAGGATTATAATTGGTTAAATTGTAAGTAGATATTAAAGTTGAAACTATTTTACCTGAGAGATTTTAATAGATTCAGATTTTACTGGGGTAGTATGATTGTGGTACTATAAAAGATCTCATGTGAGGAAGTCCAAGAAAAGTGGCAAAATGTTAAGAGATATAGACCATGATTAATTTAATTTTGTTCCTTTCCCCATCCTTTTCCTAATAATTTACTGAAAAATGCATTTCACTGACACTTTTTAAGCTAAGAATAATATTGAAGTTTTGAATTGATTCTTTTCTGCTCTCAGATCTTATCTTTTCAGTGTTTTTTTAGAATTCTGTTTACATTTTTTTTCTAGGATAAAATTTACATGTATGGAGGAAAAATTGATGCAACAGGGAATGTGACCAATGAGTTGAGAGTGTTTCATATTCAGAATGAATCCTGGGTATTGTTGACCCCTAAAGCAAAGGAGCAGTATGCAGTGGTTGGGCACTCAGCACACATTGTTACATTGAAAACTGGCCAAGTGGTCATGCTGGTCATCTTTGGTCACTGCCCTCTCTATGGATATATAAGCAATGTGCAGGAATATGACTTGGGTAGGTATATATTTTCCAGTGGATGTTTTTTGAATGTCAAAATTGAAACTTTTATCTTGGGGGACAGCTTAGTCAGTTGACATAACATAGTTCACAAAGATAATGTTCTACATCCTAGATTGATGAGTAGCATCTGGCATCTTAAAAGCTTGTGAGTGGCCATCTAAGATACAACTATTGGTCTCTACTGATATGGAGCAAAAGAAAATGAAGAAAAACAAAGGCTCAAAGAAGAAACTAGTCCACGAAACAGTGCACGCAAACCACAGCCTCCTCTAACCTGAGACCAGAACTAGATGATGCCTGGCTACCACTACCGACCATTCTGACCAGGGACACAATAGATGGTTCTGGATAGAATGGGAGAAAAATGTAGAACAGAACTCAAATTCATAAAAAAGGCCCAACCTATTATACCAGTAGAGACTTGAGGAACCCCCGAGACTGTCACCCTAAGATAGCTTCAAATCCTTTTAACTTGGATTTGAAGCTATTTCTGTAGGTCACTTTTCAGCCAAATAATAGATGGGCTTATAAAATAAACAATATCACCGGTGAGTAATGTGTTCCCTTAAACAATTAACTGTATGAGACCAAATGGTCAACATTTATCCAAAAGCAAAAATGAGAAGGCAAGGAGGGGAAGGGAAATTAGATAATGGAAACAGAACAAACAGAATGGAAATAATGAGAATGCTGACACACTGTAAAAACTGTGACCAATGGCACAGAACAATATGTAGAAAAATTGTTAAACAGGAACCTAATTTGCTGTGTAAACATTCACCTAAAAAAACCCCAAAACTAAACCTGTTGCTATCGAGTTGATTCCTACTCATGGTGACCCTATAGAACAGAGTAGAACTGTCCTCATAGGGTTTCCAAGGAGTGGCTGGTGGATTCGAACTACCAACCTTTTTGGTTAGCAGCCATGCCCTTAACCACTGTGCCACCAGGGCTCATAAAACACAGTAAAATATTATTTAAAAAAAAAAGTTGAAACATTTACCCTTATTGTTATGACTCTTTAACAAGGTTCAGCCTAACCTTGATCCAGTACTTATCTTGAAACTCAATTAACATTGGTGTATTACCAGTAAATTCAGATTATTGATACTCCTATATAATGTATATTTGTTACTATTAATTTGTCAAGGAGCCAAAGATAATGCATAATGCTCTGGGCAGTAAAATCTTACATGGCAAACATACGGAAACTGAGATTTTTTTTTTAAATTTGAGGAAGATAGACTGAAGTGAAGATTGGATAATATTCTTTAATCTGGTCCAGGGCAAAAAATTTATTTGCCTAAAAAACTTCTTTAGGATGAACTGAAGCTTATTATCAAAAAATGTCAAGTTGTCCCAAAATGTTTTTGTATCCTTGATTGCACAGCACATGGTACATAGTCGTTGCTCAATAAATGTTTGTTGAATGATTGAAAATATTTGGAGAAGAATTAGTATCATCCTGTTGAGTGTTTATAACAAGAGTGCTTTTAAAATTCGGATACAATAATAAATACTATAAGACATGTAAAAACACCAGGCTTCCGTTACAAGAGGATGAGTGGGTGAGAAGATACTGGGTGGAATAGAGACATCTCAACTGAAGACACAAAGCATTGGAGTGACGTCTGTTTCTGGGCCTCTGAGCCTGTTTACGTTTAAGTTGGACTAATAAGTATATTCTTCTTAGGTTAATCATTTGATTTCTTTGTACATTGAACTTTAGATGATGCAAGAGTGGGTTTATGTTTTGGAATTTTTATAAAGTTTTTAAATTCTTTAGAAATTAGCAAGTTTTATAAAATATTTGCTTGGTCCAGCATTTTTAGGAATGCACAGCATACCTTTCTTGTAACAAATACGGTTTAAAACAATAAGTATTCTGAAGAAAAAAAAATACTTGGATAGCTCTTTAGAGTTAGGTTTAATGAGGAGTAATTTCCCCTTAACAAGTAATAAATAATCTTTCCTTTGGTTAAATTTTATTATATCCATTGTGGAGTAGGTATATTAACTGTGATTGATATTTTGAGAAAGCAGGCCTATAAAATTTAAAAGAATAAGTAACAGTTTTTTTATTTAAGAGGAAAAGAGCAAAATTCCATTAATATGTTTATTTTATTCTTTAGCTACATCTGTTTATTTGTCACTAGATGTCATGGGGAATTAAGTGTTAATCTGAAGGGAATCTGCATTTTTAAAATTTAGTGTAATCCTTTCCCTACACAGCGAATTACACACGCGCACACCCATTGCCGTCAGTTTGATTCTGACTCATATATTAGACCAATGAAAATGAGCATTGGATCATTTAATAGATTGGACCTTAGCCACCTGGATTTGTTATTAGTTTTAGGTTACCTTTCTTTAAAAATAAAAAAAGGTAAAACCAAGCTGTATGCATCAAGTCTCCTGAGGCTATTTGGATTTTATAATTACTAGAGGCAAGCCCTGGTGGCATAGTGGTTAAGAGCTTAGGCTGCTAACCAAAAGGTCGGCGGTTCAAATCCACCACCCACCCCTTGGAAAGGGCAGTTCTGCTCCGTCCTATAGGGTCACTGTGAGTCGGAATCGACTTGATGGCAATGGGTTTGGTTTTGTTTTTGGTTAGAGGTGAGGAGCCTGTAGCATTTGTTTTTAACTGTTTTTCCCTTTCCAGATAAGAACACATGGAGTATATTACAGACCCAGGGTGCCCTCGTGCAAGGGGGCTACGGCCACAGCAGTGTTTACGACCATAGGACCAGGGCCCTGTACGTCCACGGAGGCTACAAGGCTTTCAGCGCCAATAAATACCGGCTCGCGGATGATCTCTATAAATACGATGTGGACACCCAGATGTGGTGGGTGAACCTTTTTTTTGAGCTTTCCTTTAAACTATGAGTTCTGCAGAGGCAATTGTTGGGAAAATACTGTACTGTATTTTTGTTTCAAGCCTGGCAGGTAACTCTGTTCAGCTAATATTTATTTTATTGGATTATTCTATAATTCTGTAGTAGGTTGGATAGAAAATGCTTAGTGTTTTTTGACTGGTTTTCAATTTTCATATACTTGTACCACTGTAAATGTTTAGCTCTCCAGCGTAGTAAGGAATAAGTTATTCTGTTTAGCTGAGTTTGTGTACATGTTTATAATTAAGCAGAACATACCTATTTTTTAGCGTTTTTATTTATGACCAAGGTGTCATCATTGGGGTCAGTTACCAGCGTCATTCCATCAAATCACCATATGGAGGCGGTGTGTCAGTACCTAATAGATGGAGGTCTCCTCTGAACTATGTATTAGCCTACAAATATAAAAATATGCTTATTTAAACATGTAAAGGGGAAATTTGAATTATGAAATAATTATAAAATAATGGTTTCTTCTCCTTCTTTTCATATTTCTTCACATATTTGAGACCATGCTCTGGATACCTTTTTACATTCTGTCTCAAAAAATCATCATTATTTAGTGGCTGTTTAATACTGTATCATATGGGTATACTGTGTCCCATGGTTGGTTTCTAGCTTTTGTCATATTAATAAAGCATTGTGCATAAGCTTCTGACTGCACGTCACTTGATTTCTACCCAGAAATTGAAATTATACTATCACAGGATATGAGAATTATAAGGTTGTTAATATATTTTATCAAAATTCTCATAGGTCTTTAAGATTTTGTATATTTATTTATTGTTGGAGAAGTTACATACATGGAAAAGCCTGGAAATATTTGAACATATGAGTCTGAAGTTAATAAATGGTTATCTTTGCAGTAGCATATGGATAGCAAGTACTCTAAAAAACTAACTTTGTATTTATTATTTTTAAATAAACTCAAAAGGACCATTCTTAAGGACAGCCGATTTTTCCGTTACTTGCACACAGCTGTGATAGTGAGTGGAACCATGCTGGTGTTTGGAGGAAACACACACAACGACACATCCATGAGCCATGGCGCCAAATGTTTCTCTTCAGATTTTATGGCTTACGACATTGGTAAGTTTCCCAATGCCATTTGGGCTTCAGGAATCTTTTTGTCTATACACAACATTTAAAAACCACCCGAAAATATCATCAGTTCAAATTGATCAGGCCATTTGAAAGAGGTTTGAATGGTATTTTTTATACTTATTTGAGTAATGTACGTCTATTTATACATGAATTCTCTTTGAAGTCACTTCCTTTAATTGCTTGAATGTTAATTTTTGAGAATGAGTTGGGGTAACTGGGCTCTCCTTTGTTATAAAAGCCTTACATAGAAGTGTTATGTAGTTTTGACTGCAAGCATTGTGCTCTCCAAAATGTTGGTTATTTCATTCCCTAGAAAACTGACTTCACACATATTCTTGACATACTTTGGCATGAAATTTTTAAAATTTTGGTGTGGTAATTTACTTTAACGGAAGGGGGCAGTATTTGTCCATAGAAAACAAGTACTTGCCGTTCCTTTGGATAAATATCTTAAGATGTCCATTTTTAACAGTCATTTATATGTCAGACAGCCACTGAGCTTGTACATTTGGGGGTGGTAAGATGAGTAAATTATAGCCCTTGGCCTCATGGTAGAGGAGGTGAAGAAATGAGCAAACATAACTGCAGTTCAGGGTGTTACTTGCTCTGAGAGGAGAATATGGGAGCATCTGTGAGCACACTTAACTGATGTAGGGGAAAGGGTGATGGTCAGGGAAGACCTTCTTGAGGAGAGACCATCCAAACTGGGTCCTGAGGAACACTGAGAAGTCAGGTGAAGTTAGGTAGGCCATCTCAGGCCGAGGAAGTCCATAGCAGAGGTCAAAGTAGAGATCATGGGCACATAATACGGACCCATAAGTAGTTAATTTTGGCCATATAATAGAAGCACATCAGGGAGGAGTGGCCTGAAGTGAAACTAGAGGAGCAAGCAGCTGTCAGACCATTCAGATCTTGAGGACCTGGTATGTCATGCTGAGGAGTATAGGCTTTTTGAAGAATCTTACAGAAGTAGTAACAGAATTGTATTTGTGTTTTAGGAACATCCTAGTGGCATTGTGGCAAGTGATTGGGAAGGCATAAGACCATAGTTAGGAGGCTTTTGCTAAAGTCCTGATAAGGTGATGAGGATTTGAGTCAAGGCTGTGGAACTGGCAAGGAGGACAAAGAAACAGCTTTGAGAACTACCAGGAACTCGAGGGTTGTTTGGTGTGTTTTTGAGGGAAATGAAAGCATCCTTCCTCTCAGGTCCCTTGGGCTATGGTAGTTGGTGTCTTTTACCAAGGCTGGGAATAGAAGCAGAGGGACAGGATAAGGTGATAAGTATACACATGAATGTTGACTGTTTTACTCAAGAAACTTGTCTGTGAGAAGAAAAAGGGGTAAATGAGTCCCTCAGTGGGAGGTAGATCAAGGGAGGCTTTACAAAAGGGGTGAGGGGGATGGGGATAGCCTTGAGCATGTTTACATGCTGTGGTGAAAGTCCGCAGAAAGACTGTTAGAGGCTCAAGGGAGAGAGGGTGTAAACTGTTAAATCAGGGAGAGGACTAACGGGGCAGGACAAGAGGAAGGGACACACTGTGGTTTTAGGGAAGGATAAGGTGGATGGGCAGGAAGCCCGGACAGTTGATGCCCCATGGCCTCTGTTCTCCATCTGAGGAAGACCAGAGTCTAGGCTGGGGAGAAGGAAGTGAAAGCTGTTGTTGTCAAGGGAATAAAGGTCTTAATGGAGTGGAAGAAACTTTGCATGAGCAAGTGCGAATGTCTGAGTGTCTCAGAGAGGGTAAGGTTGGAGTGGTGCCCAGTGCCAGATGCTACCAAGGTCTGGAAGAGAAGTTGCTAGCATGGGTCAGAACAAAGGAAAATTAGTAGATCTAGGGGATCTAGAAGGAACCCTGGTGGCGCAATGGTTAAGCGTAACTGAAGGGTCAGCGGTTTGAACCTGTCAGCCGCTCCTCGGGAGAAAAGACCTGGCGATCTGTTCCCATAAAGATTATAGCCTAGAAACCCTATGGGGCAATTCTCCTCTGTCCTGTAGGGTCACTGTTAGTTGGAATCGACTTGATGACAAACAACAGTAGACCTAGGAAAGAACTTGAAAATTATTAAAGTTTGAATTTCTAGAATTTTAATTTTCCTCCTCTGTTTTCTATTTTAGCTAAGTTTGTGCAAAGCAATATAAAGAAGAATGGAAAAGTAATTATGGTACCCACATGTTTTATGAATCTAAGCCTTGTAAAATGTATAATTTGCTCAAGTTAAATAACATCCTGGTGGGTAAAATTGCTAGACACCAGGGCGAATGATGTAGAAGTCATGGAGATTGGATACATTTACCAATTGGAATGAATTGTCATACAGTCCTGCCTTTCTCCCATGCCCTGCTGCTTGCCTATGGCTGCATTTTACCCCAGAAATAATAGTATGGCTAGGAAAATTAAGAAAGACGCACTTTATGAGACTGTATTTGTTGCAGTATTTTCCCCAAAGAAAATCAGTTCCTATTGATTATGAACGGCAGTCCCTTCTGAAGTGTGTTTTTCTTGCTCCTAGCTTGTGACCGCTGGTCGGTGCTTCCCAGACCTGATCTCCACCATGATGTCAACAGATTTGGCCATTCAGCAGTTTTACACAACAGGTAATTGGAGAAGTGCTTGCTCCTTTTCTCTTGTGTTTAAAATGAAAATAAAATACGAAGAAGTGAAATTTGACTTACATACTATTCACAGGATTCCCTCACCCTCTTACTTTTTCACAGAATTATGTAGATATGAATTTCCTGATTTATACTTAGTATTTGATACAGATTTGAATGACTTCCAATGCCATGTTTATTGATCGAGTTTTGTTAGCATGCTCCTCAGTATGTTTGGTGTTGTCTGAATGCATGGGACAACAAGAGGGATGTACACATGGGTTCCTGTCTTATGCCCTCTGCTATTGTTTGTGGTGCTTAGATGGCCAAGTTTCTTGTAGTTGTGTCTGGATGGCAAGGAGAGATTTCAAAAAAAAGGAGAGAGGGCACTTCAGATGGTGCTTTATAAATCTTAAAAGTATTCAAATGCTATAATGCTGCATAATGTTAGGATTCTTTTGGCTTTCAGAATTTGTTTTGATGATAAAAGATAGATGAAGATAATTCAGCTTGAATTAGCAAAGATAAGAAAGGGATCTATCTGGAGATATTGTGAATTGACAGAATTTAGAGACATATATTGAGAAAAGATGGCATCTTTTATAAACTAATTGCTTAGCTGAAATTTAGCAATATATATGGTTTTACTGTTAGAACATCTGATAGATACAGGCTAAAATTGAAGGATTTTTTTTACTAACTTGTTAATTTGAAGTGTTATTTTAAAATGTAACATGATGCTTCCTCAGTAAAGAAGATCCTTACACGTTTTCTAGCAAGTACCTCTTGATGTTTTCATCTGAGAAGCAGTGGGACCATTTGTCATCACCTCGCCTGTGGGTGCATGGCCTCAGCTCTCTTCATGTTTGTGTCTCTGGTATTCTCGTAGTACAATAGGCATTTGTTAAATGACAACTTTATTACGGTGTTGAAACTAGCAAATAATTGAATGTTTTTATTAAAACATTCTTAGGTTTTATACAAACTCAGAGAAGTTGACGGTTTACTGTAAGATATAGTTTAACGATGAATCAAAATTGGGAATGGTTTACCTGAATTATAGTGTTTTTATTTTTGTGTAATTCCAGTAGTGTGTTTGAGCCTTGATATGTGAGTGTCTGTATGTATGAGGTGGGGTTGGGTATAGGGGTGGATGTGTGGGGAGGCCATGTAGTAAAAGAGCCATGGTTTCAGTTTAATTTTATGAAATAAGTAAAAGAGAAACTTTGAATCACATCATTGCTTCATGTTTTGAATGGCGGTTCTCTTTATCAGCAGCATTGGGTCAGTTTTGCCTTACTTAGTGGTTGTCATTTTGATTTTTGAGGGGGGCAGGAAGGAGAAGAGAGGGTTGTGAGGCACTGAGGCTGCTGTAGATGGAGCTATTTCTTTCAGTTGACTGCTCTAAGACCCCTTGAAGGATTCTCTCTGCCCTTGCATAGCCAGTATGTTACCAGGTGGATTCAGAATTACTGAGGACACCAATTGTATGACACTTGTTTGGTTTAAATATCAAACTGATTAGTTGAATTCAGACTGCTTAGTGTGATAGTTTTGTTGTTTTGTTTTTTTTTAATCCAGTCTGACAGTCTCTGCCTTTTGATTGAGGATGTTTAATCCACTAACTTTTAACATAACTATTGATATGGTTTGTGGCGCAGTGGTTAAGAGCTTGGCTGCTAACCAAAAGGTAGGTGGTTTGAATCCACCAGCTGTTCCTTGGAAACCCTATGGGGTAGTTCTCCTCTGTCCTGTAGGGTCCGCTATGAGTCAGAATCGACTTGACAGCAACAGGGTTGGTTTTTTGATTTTATTGATATGGTTGGATTTACACCTGCTATTTTGCTATTTGTTTTCTATATGTCTCGTGTTTTCTTTGTTCCTTTGTTCTTCCTTTTCTGGCACCTTTTGTGTAAAATATTTTCTAATGTACTATTTTGATTCTTTTTTTAAAACTATCTTTTTAGTTATTTTCTTACTGTCTGCTCTGAAGATTTCAATATGCGTCTTACGTTAAAACTCTATTTCAGATTACTACTAAATTGAATCCAGCAAAATATAAAAACTTGGCTCCAGTATAACTCCATTCTTCTCCCCCTCCTTTGTGTTATTATGGCTGTGTGTGTGTGTGTGTGTATATATATATATTAAAAAACATATTTTTAGTTGTTTTATGCAGTTGTCTTTGATTTCTGTTAGGGGAAGAAAATAGAAAAAAATGTATGTTTGTACTTTCTTTTTCATTTACCTACATAATTATCTATACTGGTGCTCCTTATTTCTTCATGTGTATTCCATTTACCACCTGGTGTCATTTCCTTCAGACTGAAGAACTCCGTTTAGTATTTCCTCTAACTTTCAGAATGAAGGGATTTCCTTTAGTGTTTCTTACAAGGTAAATCTACTAGCAGGGAATTCTCTTAGCCTTTGTTTATCTGGGAATGTCTTCATTTCAGTTTCACGTTCAAAGATTGTTTTGCTAGATATAGATACTTGGTTTTTCTACCCCCGTGCTTTAACTATGACTCCTTATATGTGATTCTCTCATATATGATGAGTCATTTTACTTTTGTTGCTTTCAAAATTTTCTTTTTATTTTGGGCTTTCAACTGTTTGATAATGATATGTCTAGGTGTGTATCTATTTGTGTTTATCCTGCTTAGAGTTTGTTGAGATTTATGGATATATAGCTTAAATCATTTTCATCAAATTTGGGGATTATTTTTTCAAACATGTTTTATACCTTTCCTCTCTAATCTCCTTCTGAGACTCCCTTTATGCATATGTTGGTATGCTTGGTAGTCTCTCACAGGTCTCTGAGGCTCTGTTCATTTCCTTCAATATTTTTTTCTTTCTTTTCTTCAGATTATATAATTACTATTTATCTATCTTTGTAGTCTGCTTCCATAAAGATTTACAGCCTTGGAAACCCTATGAGGCAGTTCTACTCTATGCTATAGGGTCACTATGAGTTCATTGTACCTTTCCTCTGCCACCTCAAGTCTGCTGTTGAGCCCCTCTATTGAATTTTTCATTTTATTTATTGTATTTTTTAACTCTACAATTTCTGTTTAGTTTCCTTTGTAACTTTTACTTCTTTATTGATGTTCTCTATTTGTTGAATCATTAATATCATACTTTCATTTAATTCTTTAGACATCATGTCCTCTTGTGCTTTAAATATATATATTTTATTTGCAACCTTCACCACTGTTTGTTTCCAGAGTTTTTTCATCACCCCAACAGAAACTCTGTAGCCATTAACCAATAACTCCTCAACCCCCTCTCCCTCCAGCCCCTGGTAACCACGAATCTACTTTCTGTCTCCATGCATTTGTCTAGTCTAGATATTTTATATAAATATGATATTTCATACAACATTTGTCCTTATGTGTCTGACTTCTTCACTTAGGATAATGTTTTCGAGGTTTATCCATTTTGTAGCATCTATTATAACTTCATATTTTATGGCAGAATAATATTCCATTGTATGTATATGCCACATTTTGATTATCTGTTCATCTGTTGATGGATACTTGGGCTTTTTCCACCTTTTGGCTATTGTGAATAACGCTGCAATGAACATTGGTAACCAAGTATCTGGTTGAGTTCTTGCTTTCATTTTTTTTAGGTATATACCCAAGAGTGGAATTGTTTAAATTCTATGTTTAATTTCTTGAGGAACCACCAAACTGTTTTCCATAGTGATTGTACCATTTTTACATTCCCACTAGCAATGAACAAGAGCTCCAGTTGTCCACATCCTCATCAACACTCGCTATCTTCCACTTTTTTTATAATAACCATCCTAGTGGCTATAAAGTGGTATCTCATTGAGGTTTTGATTTGCATTTTCCTAATGACTAATGATGTTGAGCAACTTTTCATGTACTTATTGGCCATTTGTATGTCTTCTTTGGAGAAGCATCTGTCAAGTCCTTTGCCCATTTTTACCTGAGTTGTCTATCTCCTTGATTTAAAATATATGTATAACAACTGCTTTGAAGTCTTTGTCTCCTGAATCCAACATGTGGACCCTCACAGTCACCGTTCCTATTGACTGCTTTGTGTCCTTTGTATGGGCCACACTTTTTTGTGTCTTTCCATACCTTGTTATATTTTGTTGAAAACTAAACATTTTAAATAGTATATTATATCAAGTCTGGATTTTGATTCTCCTCCCTCCAACTACCATCATGGGTTGTTGTTGCTGTTTGTTTGTGTAATGTCTTGCCTGGACTAATTTTGTAGAGTCTGTCTCTCCCATAGTGTGCCACTACTGATTTCTCTGCTAAGTGTGTTTTTTTTTGTTTCGTTTTAATTTTTAATCCTTACTTTTAGGGATCACCCTTGGGCCAGTGTACTTAGTGGTTAGCCAGTGATCAATCAGTGGTTTTGCTTAAACAGTTTGAAATCAGTAAGGCTTCCACTCTGCTGATAGATCTCTGTGTGATTTGGGAAATACATTAAAAATTTAGGATGTTTACAAGTCTCTCCTGGCATTTATTTTCTGTGTGTTCAAGGACTTACATTCAGCCAAAGATGAGTAGATAGCTAGGGCCTTCTTCAGTATCTTCTGAGCATTCTTGCAGCCTTGTGCAAACACACAGCCTTCTGGACCACCAGAAATATATGAAATCCCATCAAGGCACACTATGATCACCATCTCTCTGAAGGAGAATTGGGCTTGATTTAAGAGCCTTAAAACCTTGACACCAGACCCAAGTTGAATGTTCATTTCTGGCCTCAGCCAACAAGGTATCCTGCTGAAGACAACTAAAAATAATACAGCAAGAACCTAACAAGATATTGAGGAAATACCGGGCTAAAACCAGGAGATGATTAGAGAACAAGCTGCTTTGACCTGTGGGAGTTTTCTCATCCAGTTGAAGTAGCTACGGGGGAGTAGGCAAGCTTTTGGCCAACTCCCCAGGCTGAAAAGACAGAGAGATTTTTTTTGTACGTAGTAGATGCTGATTAGGTATTTCTGAATGAATGAATAG